TAATATAAACGGTGACATTTGACTGAACACTTGGAAATACATTTTTGCATTATTTATTTATTTTATTTTAACACATAGATATCGGTACAAGAAGGCACCAAATACATATGCGCCACACAGATCTCATTTGATATGTGTGAGGGCTGTGATACTGCCCGGGTGCCCAAACCGAAGCAGGTGGTTTTCTTAGGGGGCCACACCCCGAGCCTTTGACCTGAATATCTGATCCATAAGGCAGTGGAGCATCGTGAGGAGATGCAGTCCCATGGTAGCCTGTGACCAACGACTGGTTCATACTCCATTTGTTCCCTCAGGATACTGGAGCCCATGTGCACCATTGGTTTGGAATCCGGTTAAAGCTCCGGACATTCGCTTTTCGTCCTCTCATTTTCGTAAACAACACCCGCGCCACGAGAAGGCAGTGAGTAGGACTTCCCTGGCAGAGGCTATATACGCGTGGCCATGTGAGAGCATTTCGAGAGTGAGAGCGGAATCTCCCCACTCTCGGCCGTACCAGGGCATTTGGGGGCATATTTTTGCATTTTTATTCCTTATAAACAAAAAGTATGCTCAGTAATAGTTGACAATTGTAAAGCTTATTTTTAAAAGACTGATCAATGTCTACATCCATTAGTTTACCGTTAAATAAAAAAATTACTGATATAAACTAAAGATAATAAAAATAATTCAGAAAGTTAATAGTGCTCTAGTCACAAAAAAAGTAAATCCTACATTAAACAGACAAAATAAAAATAATTCAAATACTTAGAAAAATATGCAATTTCGTTTGATCTTAATTCATAGTTTCAACATAAGGTTCAGAAAGGAAAGTAATGATAGAATGAGTGGAAAAGGCTAGAAAAATGTAGATAATAATTTCATTCTGCACTCATTAGTATTACAAAAATGTTCTACGTTTTGAAGTAGATCACATAGATATGGACTGGAAATTAGAATAGGGTTTTCTTCAGGTTGTGTTTGGAGGTAACTATCATGAAGAGATGGATCAAGATTTGTTTTTTGGAGTGTTTTTATCTTAGCTGGATAGTTTAATCATGAGGATTTTATTGTCCTTCTGGGAAACATGAAAACAAATTGCTTGGTAAAAGTGAGTTATTCGGATTTCTCTACATATAAATATCAGTTATTCTCTTAGACCTCAATCCTGATTAGGTGTTGTTGAACTGTATTTTCATTGATTTTACATTTGTTGATTAGTTTGTTTGACAAATTTTCATGACGTTGACTGGATAATTGTTCATATAAAAAGTCGTGAGGTATTTCTCTTCATTTCTCCGTAAGTTAACTGCACTGTGGTTTAGCTCTTCTGAATAAAGTATACACGCAGTTGACATTATGAGTTCTTGCATTGTTGGTTGAGAATTTGATTTGTGTGGATTGGCGTCAATTGCAACTCAGTTTTCCTGGACTGAAATCGGTAATCAAAACATGCAAAAAACGGTAGCTTATTGTTGTACACTTTTTTCAATGCGAATATTTTCCTGTCGAATACGTTGATGATAAAATTGTAGACATCTTCCACCTTGACGTTTTTGATCACAAATGTGTTGACTATAAGACGAATCCACATATTTGGCCTAAACTTTTGTAAAAACGAGGTTTCCAGTCTCTATTCATGCTTCATGATTAGCATTCCGTTCGTCCGTTTGTAGATTATATTTTGGGGTTAAAAATATGTTGTAAGGTGGCCTGTTCAGGTTTTAGGTTACTTATTTTCCAACTGTGCAGATTTTTTAAACCACCCAGCTTCAGATTCGCTTGAACTAAATTGTTATAAATTCTGTGTGTACTCACTCGGTATCACAAAATGCTTACAGCCCAACCGAGAAGGTAATACCGGGAATAAAGAACGAAAACGCTATACTAGTTGGTACATTTTTCTGAGTGTCTATCCTTTAAAATAAACGAGAAACAAATATGCTGAAATCCATGTATTTAATATCCCGTGTTATAAAAGAGATAGTTGTAATACTTGAACTGATAGTAAACCTTCACCATTTAACGTAAGTGAAGATAGTGGCTATTAAGAAAACATCTGTGGAGTATAATATGAATAAGCAAAATTTAAATGCATGTTGAAGAGAAATTTATTGCAATAATACACAATCGGTCCTGAGAATTCCTTACTGTAACAAAATTTATAGTAATGAATGGCTTTTAGTGGACTTTGACTTCGGATCTGTGTGCTCTGAAAGATTCATGTCATTGGACAGGAGCCGGGACAAAGTGTTCCTCGCTAACTTCGGTTTGTTCGAGGTGAATAGAGGGATGTCATCAGTTTGTAAATGTTGTCCCCAAATTATCCAAAAATTGTATGATAGAGTAATTGGTTAAATCCATCAAATGTTTTAGTGTTCTTGAAGCTTCTCTTGACAAATTGCACACTGTGGTTTCAGAGAGTAATAAAATTGGATGTGGTCATATGTTTGGTTTGCGTATTCTGCACATAAAGTACAACTATGTGAAAACTGGTTCAATGTGTTCATTGGTTTTATGTAGATCTTTGTGCTGCCTTGAATGGACTTGTTTAAAGATTTGGCTATTCAGATTTTTTATTTCTGTCCATTGGTTTGCGAATATTTTCATCTCTAAGTAGCTCCACAGCTTTCCCAGTACATTAATCTTCATCTACAATTACTGTAAATCGTTGTTTGTAAAATGGGACTACGACAATATATTTCGTGCTTCTGATTTTTAACACGGTGATTTATTCCTATATGGTTATTTAGGTGTATTCTTCCTATTGTCGAGTAAGAAGCATTTCTTTTTGGATTATCTTCTGTTGAATATGATTAATTCCGACTGATTTGAGGGATGACTATAATACAACAAAGAATTTCGTATTGTGATTTAATCCCCTTAGGTGTTCTTCTGTGTTTGTCAGAGGTCATTTTGTCGTTTGTGTTTTCTTCTGTTGGTGAATTTGTAATCATAAATTTTTCCTCGGAGATATCTGTTCTTTGCTCTCTTTATTGACTCCGTGATTTCGCATTCAGCGATGTCCAGATTTGTAAGTATCCTAATGATATATATATAATCTCCGTAACTTTTTTATTATAGTTACCAATGTTTATTATGTTATTTTTCAACAAGAATGCGCTCCCAAGCAACCGGTAAAAAACCACGATATGAAAATGAATTTATATTATTCTGCCCTGATTTTATAACCAGGCTTTACTCAAATTCATAAACAAGGCTCATATGACACTATATGTTGGGAGTTCTTACTTGACTATTATGAGCGTTCATATGTTGATCTTCGTTGTAAATATGTTATGTGTAACCAGTAGAACTGACTGCACATTTTGCAAAGAATTGCATAGTACAATAAAGTGAGTCGAGATTTCAAATATCAAAAGAAGTGTGTGTAATGATCAAGATTCATATATTTATCAAACAACTATGAATAAGAATGTATAGTTAAGTAAATGATTTTATGGAGAACAATGTACTCTATTTTCATCCTCCTATTCTTCTCTAACTTCTTGATGATTGCGCAACTTTCTTTTGATATTTGAAATCTCAGATCATTCTATGGTACAATTACGCAGTAATTTACGTTTAAAATTGTCTTGTTTATTCACTTATCATCTCTTACAAAAAATGTCAACTTCCAAGAAAAAAAATATGCTCAAAGTATCAGTAGAAAACCAACTTGTGAAGAATGTGGTTTTTTTGACAAATGCTTCAATTTCACTATTTTGAAATAATTTGTCAGCACAACTTGTTGGAGTTTTACACACTTGTCGCTTTATAAATTCAATAACAATAGTTAACACTTACTTACAGTAGTAAAACGAAAACTGAATAACATGTACACATTTAAAAGAACAAGCAAATAGAAAGGCTTTCAAAAATATCAATGCCTTATATATATATATTTCGGAAAATCAAAGGAAATTATCAATCATATGATAGGCAATGAGGAGCATAATATTGACATTCACAACTGGAACAAAGTTATGATGTTACCGAGGTGAAATCCAACTGTTGAAATAAACTAACAATTTTATTACCACTAAAAAAATAACCATATATATGAACTATGTGTGATTACCTTATTCTTTTATATACATAAACATATTAAATGGTGATATACACATATAACAATACATGTCCATATCTATCAAACATACACTAATGTGTTATAACACAAATAAACATGAGGAAAAACATGATACAAAAAAATAATTTTAGTTATATAATATCGTTAGGAAACCTAAATATTAATGGCTGTAATAAGTGTATGAAGACATGTTTAGAATGAATACGACGAAGAATTCAAGTGAATTGGAAAACTAACCTAGCCAACCAAATATACTTCCAATACCTATTTGTTAGTGTTAGCTAATCAACTTTCAGGGATATTTCATTAAGAGAACTTAATTTGAATTACATAATCGATTGTTAATGTTTAAAAATTATACATATACATATATATCGTTATTTTTACAGTCAGACTGGACAACTTTTTGGATCTTCGAGAGATTATCTCTTTCTATACACGTTACACAATTAAAATGAAAAGAGAAAACAATTGTCCTTCTGAGGCCCAATAAAAAGAAAATAGGAGTTAGAAAATTTACTGATAAAAACTTTGTAGTAATTTCGATTGTGTGTCTGTAATGTCTGAATATGAAAGTGGAAAAGATTAGAAAAAAATGACTGAAAATTTCTTTTAATTGACATTTATGTGAAATCAGCCAGGATTTTATTGAACAAAATAGACAAAAGGGAAGAAAATGAAATGCGTAAATTTGCATGCACACACACAAACACAAATGAAATACATGTTTTTCCCGGATAGTAATAAGCCAATCTAGATAAACAGCATTGAAATTCAATATGCTTAGGAAGAAAGCAGCTGTACAGTATAAGAAAAAACCTAGTTAACAACAACAACAGTAGCAGAAGCAAGGAAATCTAAATTGGAAGAGATAAGAAGGCTTCAAGTGATATATATTTATACTGGATAACAATTAGTCAATCGGATCTCCAATCCCTATTGTTTTGATTGACTGTGGGGTTGATTGAGGTCGAATAGTACGACGAGCTGATGTACGACGTGGCAGAGTTATAGTCGTTTCCTGAAGAGGAAAAAAAATTAAGAAACAATTGGATCATCAAAAGACAAGTTAACATATGCAAATGTTAACCGTATTATCATCACTGTTGTTTTGCAAAAACATGCGTAAGTAGTGTAATAAGAGCGGTTAATTTCATACAGGTGAATAATTCGGAGTTATAACAAAAAAAGAAACAAGCAGAATAAAAGGGATCTCACAAACATTCACATAATAAAATTCAGTATAATATAGTTAACTTGAGGAAAGTAGCCGATAACAGCCACCAACATACGAACTATGATACCAAAACTAAGATTTAACAAAAGATTGGATCTCTTCTATGAAAACTTATAATAAAAAGCTGGGCGAATAACTGTATAGCAACAATGGCTTCTTCATCGACCTAGTATGAAAGACAACTAGGACTGCGGCGATTACTTTAGCATATACAAACTGTGGTAGGGTTCAAATGTAAATCGGATTAGATTTAGCCAACATGGTAGAATTTTTATACACATCTGTATCAATTTAGTAAGTTTTCATTAACTACAAATTTAATACAAATGAAATACACAAAACGGGATAATCTATCAAAATAGTACATAATATATACAAGCGAAGTTAATATGTTCTAAGTACTTGTGAGATTACAAGCTAACTGAAAATAAAACCTTAGCTATACAAACATATCATATGAATGTTAATTTCAGGTACTACATATGTGTAAATAGTATCGTGTAATAAAAAGAAATCACCAGTAAATCTGTCAAACTCAATTTTATTTTTATTTACAAATTACAGTTGAAGAAAAAAGAAACAAATGACCTGTAACCTAAGTGTCGATAACATTTGTATAGTTACAATTTATCGATGTTGCTAAAATTAAGATTGTCAATTAAACAACACAAAAAGTAGATAACTACAGAGAAAATAATTCCTCAGAAACATTTATCGATTTATTATCAAGTCAAATTATTACAACATACTATGGATCGATCGATAAGAACAAGAAATTTTTTAAATGAACGCACATAGGCATGTGCACACATAGAAAAAGAAGAAAAGAAAACCTCAAATAAAAGTGCAACAGTTCAATTTGCTATATATTCTTCGTTGAAATTAAATATTAATAAGTAAAAGCTATCTACCCAATTTATCGTCATCAGCATATATATAGATATATATCGCGATATTGCCTAAATCAAATTTGGCATACCCATGAAAAATTTTAATGGCGATTAATGCACTGATTCAAGGCACCAGTCCATGTAAATAGTGTTAAGGTACAGTTTAGAGGTAAAAAGACTCGCCTTTCGACCATAAGTTTGTAGTTTTAAAATATCATGACTTAACTATTTCAGGATAGGCTGCTTGATAGCAACAATATCCTTTCATATAATCAAGACTGAGTTATGCCTACTGAAAGCAATCTGATGTGTTTATTTTGACAAGGCTATTCGAAATTCAGCAACAATAAGTAACGGACAAGTGATAAACTCATCAATAGTACACCGATTAACTCAGTTACAGTTTTTGTGTAACTAAATTTAGAACATTCTCATTATTGAGCTCCTCAGTTTGTAGATGCATGATGTGGTTGAAATATAACAGAACTTATCAAATTGTATTAGGCAAAGAAATATATGAACATTATGTAAACGTAGAAATAAAATGCAGTTAGAAAACTTGTGGGAAACTCATCAAAAACTTATTATTCTAAAACGATAGAACACTCAGAAAATGAATCGATAGGTTTCAGTCAGTCAGCTACAACGCAGGACCAGGATCAATCCTTACAAATTGCGATAAGAAAACTGTCGGAAAAAAACGACTTGACTAGATTGAAAAGCATTGCGATTTTCAAATTACATGTAAACATCATTGAAATGAAGGAGTTACAACTTGAAATAATCCACTAATAAACTTCCATAACTTTAACTAGTGTAATAACAAACCACTAATTCTCTAAAGAACAAAGTCAGAAATAAAGTTGAGTTTGAAGCAGACCATCTAGTAAAAAGGTCATACTTACTACAAACCAACAATCGTAATATTTCTTGATATCAGGGCTGCCGTCGATTAGTTGGATAGCACTGTTCTCTGGGATTGTCTATTGAAGAGGGGTGTGCATGAGAAGTTTATTAGCATCCTAAAAGCCCTATATACGAACACCTCAGGCAGAGTGAGGGCATACAACCACCTCTCTCTACTGTTCCATCCAAGCAGTGTAGTTGTGCAAAGTTGCTCAATCTCATGATTCCTCTTCAGATTTGCTACCGATAACGTTCTGGAGACAGCTCTGATGGATGTAGGTAGTTGTGATACGGATCTGTTACCTGGAGAAACACTTCCCGACCTTGAGTATACGGATGATATTGTCTTACTGTACGATGATACCCAAGCCATTCAATCCGCACTTAATCAGTTGGCAATCAGTGTCCGTAGATATGGTATGTGCTTTGCATCTTCGAAGTGCAAAGTACTTCTACAAGACTGACAAGACCCTGATCCTGCACCCACCCAGGGTAGTGAGTAGATAGTAGTTGAGGTGTTCGTGAATCTGCGCAGCTGCATAAATGCTGGTGGTGGCGTGAGTGATGAGATCGATTCACGTATAGTAAAATCCAGAGCGGCTTATGCCAATCTGGGCCATCTTTGTCGCCTTCTTGATGTTAGTCTGGCTGCAAAAGGTCGGATCTACAACGCGTCGATGAGAGCAGTTTTGCTCCATGTTATGAGACCTGGTATCTCCGAGTTGAGGATGTTAGACGACTCTCTGTGTTTGGTCATCGTTGTGTCCGAAAAATTGCTGACATCCAGTGGCAATATGATGATAGTAATCCAGAGGTTTGGCATCGTGTGTCCGGGCACAGCGACGATAATTTGATTCGTGTCATTATCCTGAAACATCGACTTCGGTGGCTTGGACATGTTCTACGAATGTCGTCCCAGAGAATTCCACGTCGTGCATTATTTGCCGACGCTGGGATCAGTTAGAAAAAGCGGTGTCGTGGTATGAAAGAAAGCTGCAAAGGGCTGGCTTTTGTTGGTCCTTCACAACTCCCTGGCTGGGGTCCGAGAGATGGTGCAACAAAGTGGCTAGAGACGTTATCAGATATGGCTCAGAATAGAAGTCAATGGCGATCCTGCTGTAATTTCCTTCTTAAAAGTGAACGTAACTTCTCTAAATCAAAGGATTCTTTCTCGTTATGTTTTTGCTAACCGAACTGTTCCTCCTATTATTACTGTTTTTTATTTTATTTTATTTTATTTTAACACATAGATATCGGTACAAGAAGGCACCAAATACATATGCGCCACACAGATCTCATTTGATATGTGTGAGGGCTGTGATACTGCCTGGGTGCCCAAACCGAAGCAGGTGGTTTTCTTAGGGGGCCACACTCCGAGCCTTTGACCTGAATATCTGATCCATAAGGCAGTGGAGCATCGTGAGGAGATGCAGTCCCATGGTAGCCTGTGACCAACGACTGGTTCATACTCCATTTGTTCCCTCAGGATACTGGAGCCCATGTGCACCATTGGTTTGGAATCCGGTTAAAGCTCCGGACATTCGCTTTTCGTCCTCTCATTTTCGTAAACAACACCCGCGCCACGAGAAGGCAGTGAGTAGGACTTCCTTGGCAGAAGCTATATACGCGTGGCCATGTGAGAGCATTTCGAGAGTGAGAGCGGAATCTCCCCACTCTCGGCCGTACCAGGGCATTTGGGGGCATTATTACTATTATTATTATTTCACCCTCGTACACTAATATCTCTTCGTTGTTATTCTTTTTATTATACGCATTTTACACTATTTATCTCCTCTCAACCTCATTGTTATTGTGTGGAGCATATGCTTTTGGTATCATTTTGTACCATTGTTTATGCATCCAAATATATAAATAACTAAATAATCATGGGGTTTATGATAAGCAACTAATTATTAGATGATAAATTTACATCACACCCTGCAAAACTGTACTTATGTCTGTTATAACTATTGTAGTTTGAGAATGTAAATATTTAGGTAGGCTCAGATTAAATGGATCTGGGATAATTTTACGGCTACTATCAGCAGAGTATAGATGATTGTTTATTAGATAAAAGGTCGCTCGTTTGAGAGTTCAAACACCACTGCAATTAATTTGGCTTGAGCAGACAATTCGTATCACCAGGTCTTGTACTGTATAATAAAAGCGAGTACATGGAGCTAGATGTGATAAATAGGTTACACTACTCTCACCTACTTGAACAAAAATGGACAGAATTCATTATAAATGCAATTAATTAAGGAGTTTTCGAAACCGTTACATAATAATAAGGATCAGTTAATTGATAATGTATAACACTTTTTAAAATTGGTCAGGAATGAAAAGCAGCTACTTCGAGTTGCTATAAGTTAGTTAGTTAGAACAAAAATTATACAAAACAATCAAGAATTATTCACTGAAAAGTAGCAAAAATGGCGTCAGATCAGTAAAGAGGTTCTCGAAAATAATAAACAATTGTAACCTAACAAATATTGAGTACAAACTTCACAATTACAATAATAGCAAAACAGTTATGCGTTTTCTGGTGATAAACAACTGTTTTATGCGATATCAGTGGCGGTGGCATACTAGTTAAAGTGCTCGTTTATCAATCTCCAGGTTACAGATCTGAACACCGCTATGACACCTTCACTCTTGACAGGCCGGTAGTATTAACAACCTTCACTAAAAGTACAGCTCAGACTCAAGTAGACATATGTGCAATCGATAAATAATTTGCATCACCATACATACATATGCAGTATATTCAATTAAACATATAATTGATTTATGTGTTAACAAGAAATTAAAATTTTCATATCAGAGCATGCACTGAGATTTGATAACTCGAACCTCATTCACACTAATTTTGTGGTAAAATCATGCAGTCATTCATAGATTGTATAAGATGACTGATCATACCTACATCTGTGGGCAGATTTATTTCCTAGGTGGCTTTGGTGGAAGAGATACTTCTGTAACAGGTGT